TAGTCAACAACACTAGTAAACATTCACCTGCCATCATTAACACAATTCTTATTCCAAACTTAACAAAATCCTGGTTATCATTTAATCTAACAATTTTCCTTTAGATGTTGCACAATTTCAATATGTAGATCAACTTTATAATTTATGTGAAAACATATACTTTCTCAAGTAGCATAGATAACTCCTCAAGGTTCTATTATAAAAATTAAACAATCTCATTCCCACTAATTTTTTTCAAGCCTTCCTACAAATACCTTGAGAGCATTCATCATTGACAAAATTGTGAGATGAACAATTAAGCAATTCCAACAACACCCAAGCTTTTACTTTCATTGACCAAATTTAGTTCAGTATCATGATAGAATAACATCCAAGATTAACTAAAACTACACTTTTAATGGATTCTAAAGTTTTGTGACAGCAATAATGAGGATTAGAGTAGTCATAATTCAGCCAGAGAAGGGAGAAGATCGTACGGTGCTACTGTAGGAAACGAAGAAGAAAGAAAAACAGCAACTACCTCAACTAGACACAATAGCAACAATTGTGGATCAGCAAGTGGCTTGCGGTGAAGAAGAAGAGGAGAACTTCAATCTGTTACATGCACGAGACGGAAGCAGACCAAACTTTCAGCCAACAAACAAAAGAATCAGCCAACGCACATACACACGCAGGACTTCAACAACTGAAAGGGAAGGAAAAGATAAAAACTGAACTTGCGTATACACACACCTCTAGCGGCATGAAACAAAGCAGGAAAGAGGGAGGGATTCAGGTGCTTCCACCAGATAGAAATGAACGACCAGCTGAGGTAACAGGATGGATGATCAGCCGACGGTGAGGAGACGAGCCCACTAACGGTAGGGTTGAAGCCTGCGCGATGGAGAAGGGACCAAAAATAGAGAACACTCGCGAACTCTCTCTCACGCTCTGTTTTGCGTTTTTGACCTACAAGGAAGGAGGAAGATAATATGAAATAATAAACTCCTTGGGAATATTATAAAACAAGAACCAAATCTCGTTGGGAAAAATTTCAAAACAATACACCACCAGATTTTTTTTTGTTGTTTTTGTTTTTAATATTTTTATGCCAATAAGCAAGGGGCACTTTAGTAATTTTCCATATAAAGAAAAATAAAACTATCATTTAGCTTAAGTAAGATTCAAACTCTAGAGCCATATATGAGTAACTAGTATAAATTTCATGAGGCCAATACTCCTCTTATGATATAAACTAAGATAATTAAATAAAATATCAATAGGAAAGGAAAATTGTTTAATTTAAATTTTTGGGACATAACATTAATTATTCAATAAATACAAGTTTGGACTTTGATTATGGAATTTCATTCTGAAAATTATTGAATTGCTATGAAAAAATAATTCATGCGAGTTTGACATTGAAAATGAAAATTTTATTTTGAAAATCATGATTTTCTTGCATGTTTGAAAATAAATTTAAAGGGGACTTTATACAGAACACTGATTGCTAACGGTAGTTCCGTTAGCCCTTAGTGCACCATAGTAAACGACTAGCTAGTTTGATTTTCGTGAGCTTTGTTCTCGCATTTGTTATTTGTGGGTTCTGTACTAGCATTTGTTTTCATGGCTTCGAGCCACATTTGGTTAGCATTACTCTCGTGGACTGTATGTTCATATTTGTTTTGTAGCTTTAGCTGTGTTTGGTTACTTACCCTCGTGGACTATGTATCCACATTTGTTTTCGTGGCATAAGCTGTGTTTGGTTATTTACTTTCATGGACTGTGTGTCCATATTTGTTATTTATTCTGATAAGTCTCTATAATTATGAGTTTTTAATTATTTTATGAATCTATTTTATTGGTTTGATTAGTTACATATCTATAATTATTTAATGTAGTTACTTGCTTTATTGAAATTAAATGATAATGACTTTTAATATGATACTTTAATGAATCAAGATTTTATTTAAAGTTTCATAGAGCCCTTCATGTTGAAGTTTATTAAATGTTTGTTTGCAAAAATTGTCATCTCTAGCACACATAATTATTTTAAACTTTGTTTTTATACATATTTAATTATTTATTGTTGGGATGCTATTCACTAGAAATTTATTTGGTCTCAAATTCATTAACTGGCGCTGATCCTGCTGCTGACATTTAAAGGGTGAAAAAATGTTCTAGGTGGTGGTATTTCACTTAGCATTATCTCCTTTTGACATAAACATTTGAACTAATGTATTTTATTTTGAAAGTAAGGTTAGTTAGCTCCACATAGCCTATAGCTCAGTTTCTGTTATGGTATATGTTGTTTGCTGGTTGGAAAGAGCTGAGCTCCTGATTGATATTATATTTTGTGTAAAATATTAACAATTAAATTTTTTGGAAGATCTTATTTACTAGGAAGATTCTACCAAAATTTTTATAAAAATATTGAAATTTTTTAATATAATAATTTTATTAAACATGTTGTAATTTTCAGTACAGATTCAACTATATTTTAAAATGAAAAAAAAATCTCAATTTAGAGCTTAAGGGATGTGTGATATGGTCCACATCCCATGCCGGTCACCCTCTGTTATCGAGGCGTGACATTAATGATATGTTTTATTCTTAGTATGATACTTTTGCCATTGTATGTCTATACTTGCTGAATTTCATAATTCATGGTCTAAGCTTATTTGTATGAGTGGACCATTATTGCTTGAAGCTTGAAATAAATTAATACTACTGAGATTTTTATAAATCTTACCCCTCTTTTTATGTTACAAATAATAGGTGCAGGTTCATCCAAGAACCATGGCAAGGAGAAAAAGCAATGAAAAATTTATCTTTTTTACCTTGCTTCTTAATTATATTTTGGTATATTTTGGAGTTGTAATATATATACCTAGTTCCATGATAATATTTTGAGTTTTAACTATACAAGAAGATTACATATATGTCCATAGTTCAATTATAATCATGGATAGATTATATCTTGGCATGTAAATATTTTTATGTGTGATAAAAACTATTAGGATAAAATATTTATCCAAGGAACAATATTAGTAAGGGTGTTGTCATAGCTATATGGTGATTATCACCTTGAAATTTTTAGTCACTTAGAGGACATTTCAAGCTTCAAATGAAGTCCTAGATCACTAAATTTGGACTTGTATATTATGAGAAAAGATTTTTACAAAATAAGGTTAGAAAACTAGAAAATTTTCTAGAAATAACTGTAGCAGTAAGAAACGAAAATTCCTCATTAAATATAGATGGATGTTTGAAGTCAGGGATTATTTTTCCCTTACAAAGGACTTCCTAAGAATATTTAAAGATTGAATCACCACAATATAATTTTTATAGAATTAGTTATGAATTTTGTAAGTTGATGATACATTCTGAAAAAATGCATATGTGATTAAAAATCAAATTGGCATTTTTCTTTTCTTGATGATCATCAAGGTTTAAGCAATGATTCTTATAAGTACTTGTTTAAAGGAGTAAAAATATATGAGATGTTTCACTAAATGGTAAATATTTAAAAGATTTGATAAATTAGTCACTTTTGCACCAACTCTAGTAACGTTATTAATATTATTGCCCTTTTCACTTCAAGTTATTGGATGCTCTTGGTTCATTACTTCATGGATATTTTTGCTACCTTTTTAGTCAATATCAGTAAAGACTGACACATGGCATGCACAGTCAATATTTAACACTGTAAACTAATGTTATTAGAGAAAAGTTAATGGTTTGGTCCAAGATACGTAAAACCGGACCGGTTATTGAACCGGTCATGGCACTAGGTCACGGGTTAGTGTTTCAATTAGGGTTGAACTAGGAGTTGAACCGGTGGCAAACCTGTCATGATTAAAATAATACAATTTAAATAAAAAGACATTAATTATAAAAATATTCAACCAAATCCAACCACTCAAAAATCTAACAGTAATAAAATACAACATTTTAAATATCTATCATTACAATTACAACTCTTCAATCTCAAAAGTCTAGAGAAGAGATGGAGATAGAGCTGGAGAAGAAACGGAGATTGAGCTAGAAAAAAGATGAAGAGTCAGAGACTAAGCTGGAGAAAAGATAGAGATAGTAGAGACAGAGATAGAGCTGGAGAAGAGATGGAGATAGAGCTGGAGCCTGAAGAAGAGACGGAGACTAAGTTAGAAAAGAGACGCTGATTAGGTTAGGTCAAGAAAGGAGAGACACAGATGAAAGGCAAAACAAAATGCTGTCTAAAAATCTAAATTGCACTTAGCGTGCTCTACCTTTAATTTTTTATTTTTTGACTTTAGTTTTACTTTTTTTTGTTATCTTATTTCTGAATTTAGCACTCTGAAAATTAAAAATAAAAAAAAATTTCAAAAAAAATAATCTGGTTAACCCAGTCAACCCATCAGGTTAACCGGGTTACACCGAGTTGAACCCGAGTTACACCGGTTCATTCCCTCACCGGTTTAGGAGTAAACCTAGACCGGACAAGGGACTAGGTCACCGGTTTTCGGGTTGAACCGGCCAGTCCGGTCCGGGTTTCAATACCATGGTTTGGTCACTTTTGCACCCACCATATAAGATTATGGGCATTTATGCCCTTTTTCTCACTTTATAATATTGGGTGCCTCGGGCTGACTACTTTATGTGTATATTTGCCTTTTAATCCTTAAATCTTTGACTGGTTGCTTATATTGCCACACTGCTTGCACAACAAATTAAAGCATCTAATCAGCGAGCAGTTAAATTACTATTACTAGTATTTAATATTTTACATAGAGAAGCCATTATAGCATATATAATAAGTAACCCTTTTATACCCACAAATATATGATATTTGTTTGAATAAACCAACACACGCGACGACAACCACTTCAAATTAACAAGTGAAGTTTCATGGATCAACAAAGTCAAGACAAATATATGCATACATACGTGCAAGTCATTAAACACATACATACATACATACAAATATATATAACAAAGCCATGTGTGCTTCACTGGGACGAACCTCATAGCTTCTCAAAATGAACCCTTGTCTTTCTCCTTTCGAATCAGTAGTTCAACAATATCTGACTGAAGATGATCCTTCCTTCATGACTCTCATAAATGGTTTATTCACCGGCAACCCTACTTGGAATCTGAACTACGACGCTGCTTTGCTGGAGCAGGGTGTTAGTAACTCCAGTGGTATGTCATTTTCCGGCGGGAATGATGATGACGGTATGAATTCGGGTGGTTATGACGATGGTAAGGTCAGTGGTAATACCACAGGATCTGTGGCGTGTGAAAAGAACGCGCCACCTAGATGGAGGAACTACCGAGACGGGACGCGGCGGCCATGGGGGAAGTCCAAGGCTGAGATCCGGGACCTGAAGAGGAACGGTGCAAGGACATGGCTCGGAACCAATGAGAGGGAGGAGGATCCAGCTTTGGCTTATGATAGAGCTGCTTTCAAGACGAAGGGTAGAAAAGCAAAGCTCAATTTTCCTCACCTCATTGGCTCAGAGCGGCGGAGACACCACCGGAGCTGGCAAGAACAGTTGTCCGAAAGAAGCGGCGCCACCCTCTTGAAGAAAAGCCTGGATGCTCTACCAAATGTGTTACCAACATATAGAAGCCATGTCAGAAGCTTGAAATATGGTGTGTGAATGAAGTTTTAGGTTCTTTCTAAAGGTATAATAAGGTAGCATTTGAATACGAAAATCAAGGGTTCAATATGTTGTATAAATCAATAAACTCTTAACTATATATTTTTAAATATGATGGATAAGATTGCTTTCTTTTTGTTTATATCTTGTGAATTGTTAATTATATCGTTGCCCGTAATTGTGTGATGGAGTCTACTCAAGATTTTTTTTTTTGATCGTCTAGCTGCAGTTTTAGAGTTGTGAGAAAATTTTCTATTATGATTAATTTGACATTAATTTTGATGAACTAATTAGGTTCCTCAACCAAATTTTTTTTTATTATCATATAGGGAGAAATTTTTCTATTGCATTGTTTACTTTCTCTCAAGCTAATTAATAATTATGGAGAATGACAGTCTCAAATGATGAATTAATAACAGTGAAGTTTTCAACAAAAATTTTTATAAAATAAATTGTATATGTCAATTCAAGCAGTTATAAATAAAAATTCAAATTGCAAACTAGTTGTTATATTTAGAATTTAAATATCATATTTATAATTGAAACTTTTAAGTTTGTAATTATTTAAATTGATATTTACAACTAATTTTAAAAAAAAAATTGTCAAGAAGACCTAACTGTTATTAATTTTTTTCTGGGATCAACTTAACTATCATTCTCCCTAATAATTACAAAAAAATCAGACGAATAATATCCACAACAAACCAGACAAGTAATATTCACAATAAAATGATTAAAAATACAAAAGCCTTTAGAACTAAAACTTAAAACACAGACAAACCAAAAAAACAACTAAAACGAAAGATAAGAAACAGAAAACACTGACAAGAGTACAACTCAAGACAAAAGAGAGGCACTAACAACAATAAACAAGCGAACAGAAAAGGTCAATATTGCTAAATTATGGTTCAATCTGGTCCGAGATGCGTCCAAGCTAATGAAGGACACTGTTCTTTAGAATTATTTTGTCATATAGGTTGAGTGTGATAACTCCAGAAAATATTCAAATGGAAAGAACTCATGAGAACCCCAGACTCCAGAGGGAGAAGGAAGATTGAAAGCTAAAAGAGAACAGAATAACAAAAAGAAATTCAAATGAAAATATTTTTGAACTTTAGTAAAAATATTTTCTCAAAAAATACAATTTGGAATTTGATTGTTACGTTCCAAAATTTAAAATGGCAAATACAGTGCTTTCCCTAAAATATTTTTAAACATTGGCTAAAATATTTTCACAAAAGCTACCCGACGCACAAAAAACTACAACAAAACTAATTATTCCACTAGTCAAGTGCCCCTAATAATGTCCAATAATCAACATATATTTGATTGAGTATAGTCATGAACTCATGACCTTGAAAGAAAATGAATTTTAATGAGAATACAATAACATATGCATGACTGGAAAATTTAATATGCAAATATTTGACCTAATGAAAGAAAAATATGTTAAGATAATTAGTGGCATTGGCTTGGTGCCTTTTGATCTCCCACTTTCTACCATTTTCATAATTAATTATAAAATTCTAATTGTAATTTTTATTTAAATCCTCGGGCCTGGACCTCAAAAAGTTTACAAATATGGTTTAAACATGATAATCTTAAAATAAGAAACGTGCACGTTATATTAAATGATAATATTGAGGACAACATATTTGATTATAAGAATATAGATTGCAGGGCCAGCATAAGCACATGTCATTGAGACCCAAATCTTTGGGAAATAAAATAAATTATAATAATATATAGTTGATTAAATTAGCGAACAACTTTTTCAGACTTATCTTTGAAAATGCACGTGTGGATTAGAGGGAGAAGACTTCAATATAATTCTTCAAAAGAAGCAATTAATAAAAAAAGTGCAAACCAATAATAATAAACGAACACCATTTAAATGTGATGTGTAATCGAGACAAAGATCTGTTTAAGAATAATTAGGATGGTCATAGTGTGAGTCTGACTCGATTTTCAAAATTCAAACCAGTGAAGGACTGACGCACAACAACTAACTTAGATTTGATCTTATTCTTACAATTATTAATGATATGGGAAATTAGCTTCAATAATATATGCCATGATGTTCTATCTATCTATATATCAAGTCAAGTTGACCTAGGAAAAAAAAATCTTGAATCTAATAAAATTAGATTAAATAAAAAATAGGGATATAAGTAAAAACATTCATACACTTACTTTATGGTTCGTTTAGATTAATGTGGATTTGGATTTGGTCTAAGGCTCACATTTGGATACATTAAAATTTATGAATTTAGATTTGATTTAAATCAAATCCATTTCTTTATTACAATTCTTTTTTAATTTTAAATTTTTCTATATTCAAATAATTTAAAATTTCAGTTATTTCAAGTATCTCGCTCACTTCATATTTTCATTATTAATATCTCTGTGATTTTTTATCTTTTCTCATCTTTCATTTTCATTAAACCAAAAGAATTTTTATCATTTAAAATTTTTTAAAAATTAAATTTAAAATTTAATTTTTTTTATTTTCATTAAAATTTTTATCATTTTCAACTCATCTATTTTTATCATTTAAAATTTTTTAAATTATTAAACTAAAAGATTTAAAATACATGGATTTTAAATGTAAGATTCAAAATATAAGATTTCAAATCTAAAATTTAAATTTAAATCCATAAATCCAAATGCTACTTTAATGTTTTCGGTTAAGATGTGGATGTCAATTTCCAGTGTATGATGCTCTATCTCTTGTGTCTCATCTAAAATAAACAGAAGTATAATTCCAGACTCGCTCATAATGTTTCACTACTCTTTTTTCTTTTGTTTTTTGCATTTTATCTTATGTGTAATTAATTAGTTCGTTATTGAAGATTCAACAAAACAAACTAGCACTGATTACAAGTGCACCCTACTCCCTTAGGTCCTATGTATGGGGCAGAGAGAAAATATTTTTTTTTGTCTTATTTATAAGTTACATTATTAAATTTTTATTATAAATTTTCTTTTTTATCCTCAATTGAATGTTGAAGAGAGAAAATATGTTATTGAAGTATTTATATTTAATAGGGATAAAATTGAGAACTTATTAAATTTTATAATAGAGTAATGAATTTTAAGGTTTTTTTGATATTAGTGAAACATGTTAGAAGTGACTTACAAATAAGATCAGAGAAATATACAATAATTTTTAAAATTGTGCAGTCAATTACAAGCTGTGTAATGGCCCAAAATTTTAAGTTGACTGAATTAATTCTTCTTCCAATTGATACTTTGTTTTAAATTATAGAAAAATTTTGTGGCCTATCTTGTAATTTTCCTTGTGCCTTTCTTTGTAATTTTTCTAGTGGCTTTCTTGTAATTTTCCCAAAACACTTTTAGTTCAGATTTTTCTTATTACCGTGCGTGAAACAGAGCCTCGAGTTATCTTATTTTCTTCCATCTCATCACCGACACGAAACCTCTGATTCTTCACCGCCATTGCACTCCTCTAGCTTTTCATTGTCGGCCCACTCCTTTTGTTCTTCTCTTCAATTTCCGTTGGTCACCGTCGGTCTGCGTTGATCCTCACTGTTGCGTCTCTGCTGTTGGGAGAGTTGGGGTATCGTTTGCTGTTCGTCTCTGTTCTGGCTTGACAGCGGCAGTGCGCGCTCGTTCAGCTGCCACTTTTCTTCCTTCTTAGTTGCTGGACACCGTGTGTGTATGGTGAGCTCAAGTCTTTCTCTTTTCGGGTCCCTAATTTTCTGCTCCTTCTTCTCGTTTGAACAGCAGGGATGAAGCTTTTCTCCTCTCCTTTGGTGTCATTCGTGAGCTTTGGTGTGGCTGAAGCTATTGTATTTTGGTTTGTGGTAAGTTGCTGGTCCATTCTTCTTCCTCTCCTGGCCGAAAGAGGCATCTCTGCTCCTTCTTGTTTGATATTGCGCTGAATCTTGGTTTTGAATGTTGATTTCATGCTATAGCTTATGGTGATGCACTCAAGCTATTTTTGAAAATGCTTGAAAGAAGAAATTGGTGAAAATAAGATTGTTTAATTTTCATATTAGATCTTAAAGGAATCAATGCTTCTTAAGAAAGTATATGCCTTTACGTATAAGTTGTAAAGTTGATTTACTCATTGGATTTGTATAGCACTAAAGAGGAAAATTGTTGGGTTATATGATAATTGAGGTTTTTGTCAAAAATGGAATCAAAGAAGTGTTAATGGTTGGGGCTGAATATTGTTTGGTATTGTTGAATATTTGATACAAGTTGTTAGAGGATTCAGTGAGAATTTAAGAGGTAATGAGAAATTTAAAGAACATTTAAAGAGTTTGAATGTTAATTTTGCTTCTTTGTATTAAGAAGGGAAAGTCATAATGACATAAGAGTTGTTGGTTTAAATGCTAGATTAATTTGGAGTATCATTGGAGTAAGTATGAAATTGAGGGAGTCCAATTATAAGATTATTAAAAACCTTCAAGTGAGTGGGTAGCATTTTGAATAAATTTCTAGTAATGTATTCATGAAAAATTCCTTTATTTGAATTTTAATATTATTCCTTTATAAATTGTATCAATATTTTCTTCAATTCAATTTTATAATAATTATTTTATAATGATTATATCTTAATTTTATCAATAATTTATGTTATTACAATTTAATTTTTTAGCTCCATGTTTGATATAAAAAAAGAATTTAGAAAATGCAAATTAATAGTTCAGTATGGTTAAAGATGAAAACTTTGAAGTTGCTTTCGTGCTATGTGCACACCTAATTTTTATTAGGGGGACTAAAATTAAAATGCTAATTGTTAACAGTAGTTTCGTTAGTCCTTAGCACGCCATGATATACCTAGCTAGTAGAGTGCTTATAGGATGTGCTAACTCCGTGCGATAGCCAACACACTTGGAACGAAGAGATGGATATTCATGAATATCGTACTCACGCTTGTTTTCGAGGGCCCCATGCCTGCATTTGATTCATGGCTTTTGTCATGCTTATTTCATAGCTTTCAGCAGCACTTGATTAGTTACTTACCTCGT